TTTTAAGTTATTTTTAGTATGTTTCACCTATCATTTTATTTGTGTTTTTTGTAATTAATATCTAATATTTAATATAAGTTGTAACGTTCTAATCTTAAAAACTAATATAATTGCACTTTTGTTAATTTGGTAAGTAAATAATTATTTGAAATAAAATAATATATATATGTATATATCGAATTTTCCTTAGGAAAAAAATTATGAAAATAAATTATAACCATATCAATTTTTTTTATTTTTTTTCATTGGTAGAGATACCATTATTAATGAAATATATATATATATATATGATAAATAATCCTACCCGTCTTTTCAAGCCATCTTCATAATGTAAATTAATGTTAGTTTATTAACTTATGTTATCTTTTATCAATTTTTAGTCTAAATTAGTTTTTTAAGTGTTGTAAAATACATAAAAAAAATTAATAAGGTGTATTAATTGAGATGAAATGGTTCTTTATTTTTTCTACATATTTGTGCAAATGAAAAAAATTATATTCATATTTAATAATGACGAAATATTTTTCTTATAAAGTAATACCAATATAATTACTTAATTATAAGTGAAAAATTATCAATGAAATAATCTAATGTACACGTATTTTATTATATAAATATAGTATGTATATCATTTGTTCGATAATTCTCTGAAAAAAGATCAATTTATGTGGTATATAAGATTTACATTGTCCATTTTATATTTTATATTTTTTTGCTTTGGTAATAATTTTATTATTAATATATAAATTAGATTATTCATTATATTCATATAATAATAGTCATTAATATATAGGTTTTACATTTCTATTGTTCTTTTTTATCGAAGTATAAAAATTCAACTAAGGGTCTTTAATTTAATTCAATTATAAATATTATTGAGTAAAACTTTGTTTCAATTATGATTTTTATATATAATATTTATTTATTTTTGGTAACATGTGCATGTGCACAAAATTAATGCTAGTTTTATAAATAAGAGTGGCTAATGACAACAAATTTAAAGTTAATGTACTATTTACTTTTATTTAGCATATTTCAATTGTAACTATTTTTTAATAAGTGCACATTTTTTGAAATTCAAGATTTAAAATAGAGTTTTAGTTATTTTATTTAATTTTTATAATTACTCTATTTTTATTTATATTACAATTAAAATATATAGTAGATTAATTTATGTAACACATAGTATCATAAAAGAACATTATGTTATACATACTATTATTAACAGGTAAGCTTATCTTAAATCATATTATGCATATTGTTTTAGTGAATAATTTAAACAAAATATTTTAAGATTATATATTTATCACTTAACGAATAACTTTTTTCCACAAAAAAATTGACAGTTTGTATGATGAAGAATTATTCTTCATTCAATCATACTTAAACATATGCATATTCACCAAATTTGTCCTCTTTAGTTTTTTTAATACTATTACAAAAAGTTTCTGTAGTAATAATATGATAGTTAGTAATTATAGATGGTATTTTCATTGATGCATATATATTTTTACACTTATGAAATAAAAATATTTTATTTAAAATAATATCTTCTCTTACATTTAAAAACTACCTTTAAAATAACCAAATTGAAACCTAACGCCATAGGTCGTATGTAAACTAATTATGATTAATATAATTTAAAATATATTATTTATTTAAAATCTATCAATTTGCGTAGATAATCTTTTTGTATGTGTAAAAACTTTATGATATAATTAAGTATAAAAAATAAAAGATAATGAATATAAGTAAATTAAAAAATCTATACTTATATTAAAAGCCAACCTATTTACCAAAAATAGTAGCATGAAAAGTCAACTCACATTTAATGCATACTTTATTTGGAAATTTTTTATGATATGCATTAATTACTTGATATATAAATTTCCTATTCAAATATGATCAAAAACATTTTTTCCTTAAATAATTTTATTAACTTCTGCAATGATTTTACTGATATATATTATAATTCATATTTGTCGATAGTATTTTTTAATTTTTATTTGAGTATATAAAAAACAAATATTTTTTTAAATTAATATTTTATTTATTATTTAAGAGATAATGATACATTATTAAATGATTTTACTGATGACTAGATAATAAATTAAAATACATTAATTATTCTTTAAAATTTTGGTATGTTATTTATTTGTATATCTATACTTATTATATAAGGTATCCTATTTAACAAATTTAGTAGATTGAAAAGTCAACGTAATTAATGCATTGTTATTTCTATCCAGAATTTTATTTAATTATTTTATTTATTTGTCTTATATCCCATAAATCAGTTTAAGAAAAAAAAAAACCCATAACATCTAACAAGTTAAAAAAAAGACATAAAATCTTTACTAAAATAAAAAGACTTTATTTATTTGTCTTATTCCATATTAACATCAATTTTGTCAAAACAAATCCCATAAAATCAGTGAAGTCAAAATTTGTACGTAAAGTCTATCTATACTAGAAAAAATCAGATTCAAAATTCTTTATCTAATTTTTTTTCTTATCTAATTCCTTTTTATTATCTAATTGTATGAAAATCTGTTCTGATTTTGTTCAATCCTCTAATTGTATTTGTATTACATTCCATAAATCGGTTTAACAACAAAAATCCCACAGCATTCAATAAGTAAAAAAAAACAAAGTACGTAAAATATTTACTAAAATAAAAAAGGAATTTATTATCTGATTGTATGAAAATCTGTTTTGATTTTATGGTACGTACTACAAATTGCGCACCCGTGTTCAGGAGCTACTTAACGGGCAAGCTCTGTGGAAATGACTCATTTAGTGTTTCTGTCTCGTGCATACGGTATGTATTTTTGTTACACAAACTAGAAAATTATGCACCCCGTGCATCACACGGGCTCTGTACTAATAAATGAACTTAAAATTGTGCACCCCGTGCATCATCCTTATTCACATTTTGGTCTATTACAGGTCAAGTACTATATATATCCCGTACATTTTTTTTATTCATTTGTATAATTATAAGACTGGATAAATGGCCTTAAAATTGTGCACCTCGTGCATCGCACGGGCTCTGTACTAGTAAAAGTTTAAAAATTTAACAAATATTGTTAGTTGTAACTTCTTAACATTAATAAGAAAATTACATTCATAACCTTAAAACTTATCTTTAGTAAGGGCATTCTTGGCACTTCATAAGTTTCAAGAAACTACTCATACTTTTAAGGGAGTTATAGATTATAGATTATAGATAGATAGATATAGATTATAGATATAGATAGATTATAGATAGATAGATAGATATAGATTATAGATATAGATTATAGAATATGAAACAATTAAAACACTTATATCGAGAAACTTGGTCATAATTACTTCTCATGAATGTCTCCCTTAAGCTTTATTGCTTAAATATGTTATTTAACAAACCACTATGAGGAAGAAGGCAAAATGTAGGTTGACTGTACAATATCAGTGCTTAGTGTAACTGAAGGACACCGTTGACAGTTGAGACCACAGGTGTTACTACATTCTTAGAGTAACCACTTGAAAAGCCTTCTCGCATTTAATAAGCAGTTAGGTTGACATCTAGATATATAGACATATAACACCAATTAGTTCTTAAATATCAAGTGTCACATGCACAAATATAATCATGCGCGGGCATGTTCAGGAAGAATTGCAACTGATCATTAGATATTAAAGCACCACCGAGTCATGAACTCAGAAAAATATGACAGGACAGTCCAATACAATGTGCATGGAGCTGCACATGCTATCATCACATTTCTATGTTGATTACCTTGTGATTGTACGAATCTGCCACATATACTTGACCATTGCTTCCACAAAAGACACCTAAAGGGTGTTGCAAAAGTACTTCAGAACGTACTCCATCATGGTCTCCAAACTGCAACATAAAATAAATCCAAAGTCAAGATATACACCTTGATATACGCCTTATGTCAAGAAAATTCCATATCATAGATAAATACCTTAAATAAATTGTCAGAGAAGACTGGATCACCACCTGCCAGTAGTCTTGATCCTCCGGTTTTTAGATCAAGGGCTCGAATTGAGCTACTCTCGCTATCAGCAATGAATGCTTCCTTTAAATCTAACAAAAAATGGAAAGAAACAAAAGTACATATATATACTAAAAATTTTGAAATAATTCCAGTGCCAGATCATGCAAAGGTCTTTAGACATACCAGGTGACAATGAAATTCCGGAAGGTTGGGCAAATGAAGTGTTTCCAGAACTGCATTAAACATATGCACCAAAAGTCCCAGAAAAAAAAAATAAAGATCGAAAAGAAGGAATTGTCAAAATCCGAAATCACCAAAATGAAAGATGTTTAATGAAGAGTTAGGTTGTGCCTAAAATAAGAGGTGCCAGATGGAAAAACCGAGACTTCTACTTCTGATAATCAATCCAACAACAACAACGGACTAATGAATACGCCTCCAACGATTTATAGTAAACAAAAGACCTAATTTATGATGCAGAGTTGGCAGCTTGTGGATCTTAGTTCGTCATATTAACATTAATGTGTTACTAGTACAACGCCCGTGTATTACACGGGTGTTTGCTAATTTTTTCTTAAAATCTAAAATCATGAGAAAAGGTAGTTGAAAATTTAAATATCTTTTAAAAAAATTATATTATTATATTTGGTATGACACTTTTTATTATTATAAAGATTAATATAATTTATTTATTTCATATATACAATATGGATGTCAAATAGAAGATCATCAAATGATGATTAATTTAATATATTATATATATATAACCGATAAAAAATACAAAAATCATCAACATTTAAAATACATTTAAAATTCAAAAGTTAATTGTAAGAAACAATCAAAACCTAGGGATATATTAGTCACTTAGTGACTCACTATCTAAAATTACAAAAAATAAAAGGGTTATATTAGTACAATTGATATTAAACTACCTAAGTTAGCTAAATAATGTTTATGGAATGTCCGAACCTAGATTATTAATTATTAATATATAATATTATTTGTCCAAACCTAACTACGAAACATGATTCTTCGCCAAGTAGGATTCCGAAGCACCAGAAGCAACCACGTAGGCTCAGCGCATTCTTGAATAATATATAGAGAGAAGATTACCTTGCGCCATTCAAATTCCTTTCATAGCCATCACCACTGAAAGCACTAGTCGTTCCATCTTGTACATTGTGTTTCCATATCTGATGCTGGCCAGCCATTGCAATGTAAACTATTTCATTTACAGAATCGAAGCAGACATCCCAAGGGGAATTTAGAAGCTGAAAAAAGTGCGAAAATATCAGATTAAGCGTTCGGGCTTATCTTTGTTACACATGCTGTAAACTAAGTAAATATCAGTTTCACGACGGAAAATACTAACTGTAAGATATTCCATTCAGAGTTTCTTGTGCAGAAATTCTTGCCTGAGTTGTTCCTGATCCTCCTCCTTGGTAATCAGATCCTTTAGTTCCATTTCCAGCAAGTGTTTTCACAGTCTCATCAACAAAATCAACCACTCTATAGGAGTTTGGTATGCATATGAGAATCACAAATACAAAAAGGTACTTAAATCCAGGTGTTCTTAAAAAAAAAAAAAAAAAAAAAAAAAAAAAAAAAAAAAATCCAGGAGTTCTAAGAAATCTGTATAGAATGAATACATGAATCAACTGCTACCTCAGAGAATGATTTTCAGTATCAGCTACATATAGAAGATTTCTCTTAGCGTCGTAAGCAAGTCCCTACAAAGTAAATAACAAACCCTATTATGCGATGTATATTAGTCTTGACCAAATGCAAAAAAAAAAAATTAAAAAAGGCAGAAGTTTTTTAAAAGAATATTGTAATCAAAACCATTACCTGCGGGCGATTGAACAAGGCATCATCAAAATTACCATCACGAAGACCTTCTTCCCCACTGCTTCCGATTTGCATTTTGAAGTTACCATCAAGGTCAGTGACTACCTAAGTTTAATCAGTGACATATTGATTACACTTGGTGGATATACATTGCAACCGATGTATTTTCTTAAGTTGGTAAGAAGCAAATAACTAAGAATGAAAAATGCATACGATGACCATGTGCGTGAATAAAAAGAAAAGAAATTTCTGTTTAGAGGTCAGTGGAACCATTTATGAATATCAATATCTATAAAAACACATACATCTCCTTGTGTAACATGGCCATACCAGCACATACGTAATCCAAAAAAGAAAAAATGGGGAGAGAGAGGGAGAAAGAACATACTATGCGGTTGTGGTTGCTGTCAGATATAAACAGTCGGCTGTTGAGGACATCAACCTCCAGCTTACCAGGAAACTTTAGAGGGGATATCAATAATCTAGGATCATTGTCTTTCTCCAAATTCAAGGGAATAGGAGTTTTGTCCAATAAACTTTTCCCACCATAATATGTTATTGCTGCCTCGACCAAATCATCAAGATCCTTGGGATAAACATATATAGAGAAATGTCACAGTTGCTTAAGCCATTGTATATCAATATCTATCTATCTACTGTCTACACTATTATAAAAAGAGTAATTTTGTTTAAAAAAAAAAAGAGAGAGAGAGAGAGAGAGAGAGAGAACGGCCTAAAAGTTCCTTATGCTTAGTATATTATTAATGTTATAATTGTAATTGTAATAAGTATTCTAATACAGTAGAATTCTATTTCTACCCTTCCAAATTAAATTGCACGGATTAAACAGTCTTATGTTTGGTAATACTATTAATGGTATAAATGTATTTTTAGTTAAGTATTATAATTCAATAGAATTTAATTTTTATCCTTTCAAATTAAATATTTAATTACTAGTACAACACCCGTGTATTACACGGGTGTTTGTTAAAAAATTATTCTTAAATTTTAAAATTAATGAGAAAACTATATTAAATTTAGTTTACTTTTTTACCAAAAAAATATATTACTATATATTTTTTAGAATGATATGTGTTGCTTATGACTTACATGTGTTATATTATATTAGTTTTTATAACTTATATCATATAACTACTTGAAATATAAATATATTAGTTGATAAATAATTTTATTTTTCTAATTAATATTAAAAATAATTTTATTATTGTTATAAAGGTAAATATAAATTATTTTTTTTATACATACAATATGGATGTTAAATCGAAGCTCATCAAAAGAAGATTAATTTGATATATTACATATGTAAAACTGATAAAAAATACAAAAGTTATTAACTTCTAAAATATATATACAATTCAATAGTTATAATAAGGAATGATATTAAAATGCAATTAATACGTGTAACATGACCATAAATAAAACCTAATTATTTTTGGTTTGGAATTAAATTAAAATTTACCCAAGCCTAATAACGAAGCATGTAATTTTGCCACATAGGATTCCGAAGCACCAGAAGCAGCCACGTAGGCTCAGCGCATTCTGTATTAATATATATAGGGGGAGGGGGATTCTAATTATATAGCCAAAGGAGACAGTGAGGTCCTTTAGCCATATATTTTGTTCATTTATTTGTTTACTTTTAGTTTTGTAATTATTTTATTTTATCCTTTATTATTGGTTATAAAAAGTGATTTTTACAATAATAAAGTTTAACATGATTGACGGAAAATTACAACTAAGGATTACTTCAATAATAGAATCACTGAAATAGTCAATTCTTAAAGGCAATGAAAAAAAAAAGGATCATGCTACATGTACCTCTTGGTTTACCACTTGGTTTACATCCAAGGGGTACATGTACCCATTTACCCTTAATGAATAATTTAGTAAATAATTCATTAAGGGTAAATGGGTACATGTATCCCTTGGATGTAAACCAAGTGGTACACCAAGGGGTACAAGTAGCATTATTCAAAAAAAAAATACAAACGGCAATGTATTGTTAAAAAATTCTTAATACTAGTGCGTGGCCCGTGCGATGCACGGGAAAACAATATTACGGTTGTGTTATAAATTAAATATACAAATAAATTAATCAAAATTTACCCATCATTTTTAAATTAAACCGTATTGGACACAGTCCGACCGGATGGACCAATAACCGGTTTATAATCAGTCTAGTTCATTTGAATAAAATATTTGCTATTGAACCGTCAACACCAGTCGGTTGAACTGGTAGGATCGATACGATTTCTAAATAAATTTGGTTATATTTAAATAAAATTACATATTTAAATAAAATTAAGATTTATAAATTGTTTATCAATTCATTTAAACATTTAAATTTTTAAATTGTTTAGATATTTAAGTAACACATTTTATTCAAATTTATTACAAAAAGTACTATATAAATATATATATATATATATATATACCAAAGTGTATTTATAAAGAAAAAATAAATTGTATGATTTTTATAAATTAAATTGTATGATTAAATTGTATAATTATATTAAAGGGTATTTATAAATTAAATTATATGATTTTTAAAGAAAAAATTAGAAAATAATAAAACTACTATTTATGGGCTGCATTAAATGCTTATCTATTTTTTTGCTACTAATTTTAGTAAATAGGATGACTATAAGTATAGACTTGAATTATGAATTATATGAAAAAAGATACAAGCAAAATCATATTGCTATGAATAGTTGGCCTTTAAAAAATACAGGAAATGAAAAAAACAAACAAAATTAATTAACTTTTAACTGACATTAGAGAGTGATCATCTCAAATGATACTTGAGTCAATAAATAATCATTATTCAAAGAGAATTAGAGCAAAATGAAATGTGAGAAAAACTATCCGCAAAAATTATCTCTCTATGAATAGTTATTTCAAAGGATAATAAAGACACTATTGAAACTTTAAAACACAATATACGTTGAAATAATAAAATAAATCAAAAAGATAAAATTGTAAAATATGTCCAGTAATTTAAAACATATGACAATTTACCCACTAAAAATTTCAGTTATATAAAAAATCACTAACTAAATCCCGAATATTCTTGGCCAAACACATGCTTTATTGGGATTCTTGTTCTTTTTTTGGTAAATTTTTACAAATACTTACTTAGTATTTTTTGTCTAATTTTTACATTTTTTATGCATGTTGTGGTTTATTTTTATTAGTCAGTGATATTTTCAATATTATCATTATTTGAAAATTATGTTTTAATTTTCATACATTTGACACAAATTCATAATCATTAAAGACAATTTTGTGCACTTTACTAATCTATTTTAAGTTCAAAGTAACTAATAAAATAGACTGATACAGATCCATTTGCTTCCTATTAAATTTCTCAGAACACTACAGTGAAGAAGTTCAACAGTAAATAGAAGTACAAAAACTGGAAAGAAGATGATATTTTGATGGAGTAATCTGCAGAAGAATGAGTACCTTTCGGTGTCCTTCACCTGAAACTTGTGCTATAAGCTTGCCATTTGGTCCAACAAGAGCAAATGTAGGCCATGAACTTATACCCAACTCTCTCCATAAATGCATATCACCGTCATTGACAACCTAAATTTCGTTTTCCAAATAGTAAACTAGGATTGAAAATTTCAATATGTTATTGGTCTTCACAGTCAAACTAAGCACCAACAGTCCACCACATATGAAAATTCAAATTTTGTCAGATAACACATACTCCCTCCTATTTATAATAAATGTCGTTTTGAGAAGTTGCACAATTATTAAGAATATTTTTTTTGCCAATAATAACCCTCATTAATGAGGATAGAGATGAATGTTTTGAGAAAAGATGAAGAGTGAATATGAAAAGAGGTAGTGTATTTATTGGGTAGATGAGGGTAATAATGACAAAATATGTACAAAATATCCAAAACGACATTTATTTTGTTAATAGTTGATATTTGATAATGCCAAAATGACATATAAAAAGAATAGGAGGTAGTATATAACTTCTATAAAAACTCTAAATAGTCGTACGTGACGCTTTAAGAACTTGACATACCAAGATGTGATGAAGCCCTAAGCCCCTTATATTATCCTAATCTGAGCGTGAATAATTTTCTCAAGGAACAAACCACACTTATCTAGTGACTTTTCATGGAAAGAAAAGAACTGTGACGTGTACTCCAAATCATTTGCACCATTTAATGTCCTACAAAAACCTATTCGATAATCATAGGGAACTTCAAACTAGCGATTACAGCACCAAATATGCAGATACAAAATTGCTCAACTTGTAGTTATTATCCATTTACTAATTCTTACTCTTGAACTTAACAAATGTACATAATTTAGAGCGTTTATTAGGGTGATGTTCAACAAAATAAGAAATAAGGCATTGAGTATATTTAGTTTAGGATGTTAAAAAAAATCATAAGAAAAGCATGGATTAAATTTAGTTTGCCAGCATAAATATATTACTTTGTATCTCTAACGGAGTTATGCATAAATTATTTGAGAAAGCTTGATTCATCAAAATTTATATGAGAAACTGCCTATTAATATTGAAATAGATGCAGAAATATTGAGGAACCCATTTTTATAAACATACCTAAATGTATTCTCATATTGTTTAAATTTTTTACTTAAATATGCACGAACTCATAACCTTGTTGTGGATCTAGAGATCAGGTAACCATATGGAACTATTCTGTGAATAAGTGCACGAGTTAGCTTATGAAACTATGAGTCAAATTCAAAAGCTTACAGGGTGAGTGATTCCATAGCGCAAAACTGCATTTCGGATGGCGTCCAAATCTTTCTCATTGTCAAATTTTGCAGAATGCACTCCTACAACAACAAACTGGAACAACCATATACTACTAAATTTCAATGTTTGTAATGGACACGCTATATCATGTTAAGCAAAATAGCACATCATTATGTATAAATTCCGGATACCCTATTTAGCATATAAAAAATCCTGAACTTATGCTCGAGTATGATAATTGGATTCATCACGAATTCTGTCACCATCCTTTTAATTTCACATAGAATATGCTTTTTTTAAAATCTGTCCTGCCCCATCCATTATTTTTGGCTAGTTAATGTTCTTTAACATATTCACGCCACGATAGCAAACTAGCACACTCAAAAAAAATGTTGTAAGTTTGGCCATCAACGAGATTTTATTTTCAATTACAATAAGATATTTAGCTACTTCTAGATTCCCTGTTATAATTGAATATAATGGCAAGCTATTCGTCATATCTTGACATATTTGATACAAGTTCCTGCCAAGTTCTTAGCCAAGCTCTACATGTGTTGATGCCTTCCATGAAAATTTACTTCCAAAAGAGACAGGAGATGCAACAAAAGACTGTTAATGAAGATTAACAGAGCTTTCGGCGCTTAAAACAATTTCTTATTTTTATCGAATAAAACTTATCTGATCTTTTATTTTTAAAATCACGTGGCTATACAATAGGCATTGTAGGTTAACTTTCCACTGATGGATTGAGATCATTTGTTAGCTAAACTGTGGAATGTAAGTAGTAATAATAATAATAAAAAAAAAAAAAAAAATTAACCTACCTCCGCTAATTCAAATGTATAGTTCATGTCATAGGCCTATTGCAACAGAAATATAACCAAATCATTTTCAGTAGAAGTAAACTAAATTATCAATTTCATTGTTTGACTGACACATTTAACACCACAATTATGTTCTCTGACCGCAAGCATAAAGGATGATGCATCTTGATTAGGTGTTTGCAACCTCTTTGCTATGTTTAAGTAAATTTTCAGGGTACAAGTTTATCAAAATATCAATTTTACCTATTTGCAGTAAAATAATGTAGCAAATACAAAGCATTGAATGAACAGAAAACATTTAAAAAGAATAAGACGGTAGGGAAGTCTTATCCGACCAAATTGTATGCGTAGAGCAACAAGGGAAAATAATAATAATAATAATAATAATAATAATAATAATAATAATAATAATAATAATAATAATAATAATAATAATAATAATAATAATAATAATAATTGTGGTACTTCCAATTGGCCACGTGCAAAATCAATAGCAAACAGAAAATATGAAATAGGGTCTTACTGGCATATCTTTGTACTTTTTCTCAAGGAACTCTAGATCTGGTAAGACGTGCATACAATTTATACAGCAGTAGGTCCAGAAATCAAGAAGAACCACTTTTCCTTTCAAATCCTGTCCAAGTAGCATGTTTTATGAGGAATGGGATCATATAGTATAAGTTATCATATTTCTACGGTTTTAACACATACATGATATAACAAAATATCTCGTTTCATAAAACTACCAATAGAAATAAGTAACACCAGAAAAATCATAGCTCTTACTGCTAACAGAAAGCATGCCAACACAGGCTTAAGGATGATCTCTATGTAAAGCAAAACATTAATAACCCAGCCAGATAATTATTCCGGCATCCTATATAAGTCTTCAACTCTATCGTATGCACATCTAGGGGTGTGCAAAGTTCGACCAAATCCAAAAAAAAAAAGAAAAACACCGACCGAAATAAAAATTTTCGGTTTCGGTTTTATTTGTAAAATAACCGAACTATATAAGAAATATTATTTTTATATATTCTTTTTATTTTCAGCAAAAATAATATAATATATTAAATAAAAATATTAAAATGCTAAATATATTTTTTATATTATAAATTATAATTTATTTCTTGGGTCGCTACGGAAACAGCCTCCTTGTATAATTACAAGGGTAAGGTCTGCGTACAACTGACCCCCAGACCCCAACCAGTTGGGAATATTGGGTATGTTCCCAACTGGGTATGTTGTTGTTGTTGTATAAATTATAATTTATTTCAGTTATTTCAGTAACCAGCTGAATAAACCGATTATTTTCGGTTGGTTTTGGTTCGGTTTGGGACAAAAGTTTGGTCGTTCAGTTTTCCCAAAAGTTCGACTCGGTTTTCGGTTTTGACATTTCAGTCGGTTGGTTTCAACTGAACCGATCGATCGTGACTAATTATGACAACAACTCCAGTAAAACGAAAAGTTTCCTTCCATCAGCTAGAGTTCAACATTGAAATGTGGCAATGTGCTCATGAAAATCAAATAAAGACATTTATCATGTGAATGAACAGAAGCAGTATGTTAAGTAACATAAGCAGCATAAAATTACAGATTTACCCTCCGCAGCTTAAGAGGAGCCGTGTTCAGCCAGTCGAGTTTAGACGGAAACTCTGGCACAGTTGTCGCGGTGCCCCTTAAGATACACAAAGTAGCAGACATACAATTAAGAAAATGCCTTGGGAAATGAACAATAAAGGTAACACTAATTAGAGGCTTTTGCAGGACAAAAACTTCATTGATACCTTCTATCCAAATCAGAGAAATAATTCACAAACTGTTGGATCCTAGCATTTTGAGATTCTTCTGCAACCACCAAAAGGAAAAGGAACCATGATTCTCAATGCTTTTTTTGCAATGACGAAACAGGAGTAACCAGACAATGTAAGTACGTATGAAAGAAAGGAAGAAGGAAAATGCAAAAGGTAATAATTTACATTACAGGGAAACTGAAAAGTAGCCCATTGATGCTAGACCTTTATTTGATCCAAAAGGGGCATTACTAGCTCCAAAAATCAAATTCCAAATAGCTTTTGGAGATGCATATTGCATGGCCTGCAAATACATGAGAGCTTCCATATGTACATATCTACAGTCAATATAAGGAAACGATTGTAGGCATGAGTTCCAAATCCACAAGCTGCTCTTTTCCAAAAGAATATACCATACCTTCCAATTTGTAATCGTGAAAAGAAGGCAAGAAACAGCAATTCCTAAACTTCCATATCTCAGGATATCTCTTCGAGAACCCTGAAACCTGTCAACAAATCATTTTTTGCAACTCAAGGAGTATTGGACTGAATGTCCTCAACTACTGAGAGCATTTACTCACATGATAAACTTGATTTTAGACAACATAAAAGTCAGATTTCTTTGATTGGAAACTGAATATATTAAAAGTTTTTTACTTATATTTTTTTTTTTCCAACTATCAGGATCTGAATTTGATTTGTGCACTAATTTGCACCACCCCAGGGAGGAATTATCATCAGTGATTGGTGTATATATCTGTGTTATCTTCAGTTGAGTACAATAACACCAACGTAAGTATCTAATATGAAAGCCTAGTGATTATAATCTTAAGAACTACTCTCAGAAAATAAAACAGAGTGCCTACTCAAATCGGCTTTGACCACTTGATGTGCGATATAAATAAAAATTGGACAAAGAGGGAGAAGACAATGCTGTATCTCACATTTGCACAAGGATATTTTTTTAGTACTATTAGGATGGGGCGGGACGTGGTGTAGCTCTGAACATTAAAATAATCTTGCTGAACTGAAGAACTAGATCTTTACAAATTAGACATGAGCTGTTTTTTAACCATTTGTCTCTGGAATGTGCTTCTCAAATTGTCTCGGGAAAAAAGGATAGTCACTTACATATGGTTAGCATGGGAGAATGAATGGCAAGATAGCATTAGCAGGTCATCCAGTTATTTAATACTATCCTAGACATTGTTAGTCTTCACCTGCATATTACTACTTCTCTCATCTTTTCCCTTTCTCGGTCAAAATTTTTTGAGCTTGTACATACCCCAAACTGAAAGACAAAGGCTATTCAACTTTCTTGAAAGTTGCAGCATATTTATTATAGCAGCATCACATCTTAACAAAAGATGTTAAAGCAACACCACAGTAACAAATTTAGTAAACGAACAAAGCAGTCCCAAAACTAACACTGTCGGCCAAAAGGTGACAACCCATAGAACGGAACACTACTGAGTTTGAGTTAGTTCTCTTGACCATGTGAGGTGACTGCAGTTGTTACTCCTTTTCTGAATCAGCTTCTAATCTATATGATGACACAAAATAACCTGTGATTGTATTGTAAAATGATGACATACATCTATACATTTTCTACTTGGTACCCACGCACACATATATATTATATATACATTATCTTATCTCTGCAACTCAAAACAGGAAATTTTGAACAGTTCACATTAATAACAGATTCGAAGTTAAGAATATTAACAAATACAAATACCATACCACAAACGCGGACCCATTGGGTCAATTACCAAGAATCCAACAATGGTCTCCACCATTTATTCTGATCCATATTGATTAGTCCTTTATAGGAACTCTAACGTTCGATAATGATGGTATCAAACTTTTTGAGTCAATATAGCTCTCCAGATCCCCAAAAGTTCAAGAATTCAATGAATTAGAGATATCCTTACCCTCCAACTGAGAAGATTCCATCTCCCCCAGAACCTTCATCCTGAGCCGTTATAGTAGTTTCCTTAATGTGTGAATTGCCCAGGCTGGGTGTAGAACCACTAATAGATTCAGAACCCTGCTTCTCTGGATCTGCAAGATTTTCTCATATTAGATATTGTTTCACTTTTAAAATTTTCAAACACCATGGCATCGCCGGCAAATAACACCTCAAGGATTTTTCTTTATAAAGAATAAAAACTCAAAAAACTACCACTTTAACAAATTGGGATAGGAACAGATATAGTAAGTGAATATAGTTATAAGCATTTACCCTAGTACTTGAAATAAAACCACAAACCAACAGGAACTTTAAACATAAATTTTACGAATTAGAAAGTTATTAAGTGATCATCAGAGAAAAAAAGCTTTTATTAGGATACAACGATTCATTACATGAAATAGGCCTCAGTTTCTCGTTTGTATCTAGGTACGAAAAGGAGTCTACACCAGAGTACATATTGTTGAGCAAAAATGTTACATAAATATACTTCCACAGGCAACTACATACGATGGTAACCAGTGCCACCATTGAGAATATCATCAAGAGAAATATCCGCTATATTCTTTCTGATTAGTGATGGACCAGCTGCCTTTAGAGCATCTTCTCCTAATGAAGTTGTCACAGCTATGCATCTGCAAGTGAAAAATGAGTAAAATAACACCACCATATATAGACAAGGAGAAAGGAGAGTGAATTCTCATGGTAGCAACACAAAATAGAACAGATAAAGAGCAATATCTATTCAATTAACAAGAAATTGTAATCCAAAGCATCAGCAAGGACTACCAAAAAAAAAAAGACGAAAAACTGTAAAACAGACTTACAACAGGGGCTAGTAAAGTAAGTTCAAGCAATAGTCAGGAAAGAATAAATTGGAGTAAATGTTATTCTAGTAATGAACAGCAATTGGACAGACATTGAGAAAAAGCACAGATCCATGGCTCATCAAGAATCAATAAATTATAGATGTTTACAATAAAAGAACGGAAAGATAATCAAATGATGAAAACAAAATGAATTTATTTCAAATACTATATATTGGAAATATCAAGTAAAAAGAGTAAAAGCAGTTGACATAACATTTTGGAACAAAAAGAAGGCAAATGAAGCAAGATGATAGACTTTGAAATTGTATCTCCTGAATTCCACAAGAAAAACTTGGACTACAAATTTGGCATCCAGAAACTAGGGTAAAGCTTACACAATCCAATGGATACGGAAGTCCAAAAGCAGTACCTCATACTAGCTGATTTGGCAGCTTGCACTCCAGCTAATGCATCTTCAATCACAATGCACTGCATGAACATTGAAGCCATAACTTTATCCAATATACTTGTCATGTCTAATTCTTCATTATTAGGAGACTGAACTTACGGAATATCCCAAATTATCTTTATTTGAAAAGCTTAGACAGCAATTCTTATATGCACATTGTAGAAGACAAAAGACTATGAATACATAAAAGGTGTGATTGGTTGGAGTGATAAGGAGTGAGTGATATCACAAATTTTTCTAATATTTCCTGCCTATTATAGTGTTTGGTTCAAATATGTAAGCCCTTGAATTAGGCCAAAGCCCGGTTTTTTATCACACATTTTACTTATATCTTATCCCACCTCCTACATGAGTTATGTAATAACTTCTGTTTTTTCTTCAAAATTTCCGTAAATACCCCAACTTTTTTTTTCTGTTCGTTTTGTTTCGTTTAATTGGGGGTGTTTTCTTCCTCAAGTGACGACGAAGATGGGGGAGTTCTGGGTGGCGAATCCAAAAGGCAACGACTAGTCGAGGAGGTGCGGGAGGGTCTCGTGTCTGTTGGAGATCCATCTCTGTTTTCAGCGATTAAGGTGGAGTTCGACAACGGCGGAGATTATAAAAGTGAAAAAAAAATTAACAGGTCGCTGAAAACAGAGATGGAGTCGAGGAATAGAAGATGAAAACACAGTTGTTTTGTTATTTCCTTTTCTAATTTTTCGTCCAATTTATCTGCTT